CCAGTCCGTTCAACCTCTTGCCATTGGCGCCGACGAATAGTGTGTCGAATAAATGCGATACTTGCCGAAGCCTTACAGCAGTGCACCGTAAATTTCCCAACTTCTTTGCAAGACCGAGAGTGACCCTGGCAATGAGGCGCTGGGCCAAGATGACGGGAAAGGCATGTGCTTATGGTTGATGCCGGCTCAAAGACTTGGCAACGAACAATGCAATGAGTTGTCTTGGCGAAGCGGGGAGTTGCTGATTGATGCGATAACATCCATGGCCGGGCGTGCTCTGCCATCTTGCTTGATTGCTTGAGACTGCCATGGTCCCTGTAAGGTTTCTCTTCGGAGATGGCGATCGGCCCCACGCCAGGCTAATCATGTAGCGTCACGCGTGAGTGGGATGCCGGCCCGGCAACCTTCGTTGGTCAAAACATGGTAAATGGTGTAGAATCCACACTTGGGGCTGGAGATTTTGATAATGCTTAACTCTAAGTTCTCCCCGTCAAGACTTGATCTGTTGAGAACAGAAAGAAAAAAGTCCTGATTTGTATTCAAAGTACTGAAGTAGGCAAGTCAATTGAAGTACGGGACCTGGTAGTACTGATGGTTCTGAATTACCAATGTGTTAGCAGTCTCACTTATTGAAAGTCGCATAACTTCCTGCTCTCAGCTGACTTGAAGCTTTGCGCAACGCCACTGATTCCAATATTCCGTGTCCCAAGAAGAATCATTTGGCAAGTTCAAGTGGAAACAAGCTTTACGACGGCTATAAACGATTTCGCGATGACTTGCATTTGCTAGCGCCCAAGATCTCGGGTCATGTTGGCTTGGGATTCGAGGACCTTGATGGTCGCGCCCTGGGGGTTATCAAACCCGATCCATTGAGACGTTCCTATTCTCCCTACTGTATAGGTACTGTCCGAGGTCGCAGTGGAGTTCGAGCCGATCTTTGATCACTCGCTTCTCGAGTAGATAAGTCTAGCGGCGTTGACGTTGGTCCGCACTTTGAGGCGCATATGGAATGTAACCCTCGTGCTTGTATGCCCGCTTCGGACACAGGTAATTCTCGGGGGAGGGGGAACACTGTCAGAATCCTTGTTGCAAAACACAAGAAGACAGGCTCTTCAGCCCTTGATGATGATACCGGGCAGCATGGTCACTGCTGGCAGTTGCATTAAGACCCTCGAAGCCGACACTTGGCAATTCTAGGACTCATAGGGTATCGTAAGTCAGGTATGGTACTAATAAGATGCTCATATTCTATATGTCCCTGTCAACGTTCATGACACAAAGAGATCTAAGCCTGATGTATAGTCGAATCTGCGAACTCCTTGCCCTCCAAAACCACCAGCGTGCAATCTAGCGGCCTAGCCCGTGTGCCTCACATCGTTCCTCGCTACCATCTGCCACCCTTCTTCAACGACGCCGCTACTTGCAGACGCTGCTATACTGGAGAGAGTAATCGTACTCCCCTGCGGTCCCACTTTACTCTCCAAGATCTTCTTTATCTCCGCATGTGCCACACCAGCACTTCGGAGCGTGGAAGATGGAACCTTCCGATCAGCACCATGTGCTATCAGCATTCGAACAATATCAACCTTCTTCTTGATAAAGGCAGCTTGGTTCCCAGGCGTTCCTCCGTTTCTAACGTTGGACTGTGCTTGAATTGCAGCCATGAGTGGCGTACACTTTCTTGGACCACAGATCTCGGTATCTGCCTTGAAGGAGTGTAGAAGAACCGATACAACATCTCTGTTTCCCTTTTCGCATGCATGGTAAAGCGCCGTTTTACCATAAAAGTCTCGAGAGTTGATATCTATCGACGAAAGAGATGTATCACTGGCTCTGCTTTTAACAGGTGATATGTCTAAGCGCGCCGTTGAAGAACGCCGGAGTCTGCTAGCCTCCGCAGCGACGCTGAGTCTCCGAGTAGACGTCGCTGTGAAGATTTCCTCGGCCACTCCTTCGGTCTGGCATTTGTAAAGAATGTTACGGCCGTGCTTGTCTTTGAAGTCGGAACAAGCACCGTTTTCTAGTAAAAGACGCACAGCCGATACGTGGCCAGTTGTCACCGCCACCATTAGGGGTGTTTCCCCATTGCTGTCGATAACTTCGAGGTTCTGATAGTATTGGATAACTTGTTCGAGAACCCCGACATCCATATCGTCGTCTGCGATGGCGGCGAATAAAAGTGGTCGCTTTTGCAGGTCACAGACATCAAACTTGGGTAGATTCATGTCATCCAACGTGGCTTCGTGGAAACCTTTGTTGTGAGCCCAAGACAGGGCCGTTTCAAACTCGTTGTGAGGCGAGTCTTCTACAGGTCCAATTTCTTCTTCAACCCAGTCCTTGATAGCCAGGAATTCGGCGTGGCTACCACGGAGGCCTTGCACATGACGCAAAAGTTCGTAAGTTTCCATAATTCTCTCCCTGTCCCTAGGATCTTCCCGTAGTCGAAGCTCCATAGCAGTCTGAAGATGTCGGCAAGCCCCAAGCAGATATTGGCTATCGAAGAGTAGCTTCCCAAGTTTATGATGTAGTCTGGACGATCGAATTAGATCGATTGGTTGTTGCATGTCGCATTGATGATTCAAGGCCTCCAGAATCTCTCGTGCCTTTGCGGTTCCTACTTCAGTCTCACACATGATGTTGAGATCTGCGAGCTGTTCGTCAAGATCCTGCTGTTCTAGTTCATTGAACTCCTTCTTCCCTGCCTCTGCCAGCAGCTTTCGTATGCTCACCGCGTCTTGGAGATGTTGAGTGGCACTCTCGAACAATTCACCAACTCGCAATAGCTCTACAATCTCGACGGTCCTCTTGTATTTGTAGAGCTGCAGTTGAGGATTGAAAGGGGGTTCCTGCTCATGTGGCTCTGAGCGCTCACTAGAGATTGATCCTCTAGGAATACTGCCATGGACTCGGGGTCGGGATATCCTCAGGTCCTGGTTACCTTCTAGTAGAACCTCCTCCGCTAGACTGACAGCTGATCTACTCCATTGTTGGATAGTCCTTGCGAATATGGGATTGTTGACTTCCCGACCTCCGATGGCTACATGACCAGGGCCAGGTAGTGAAGGAATGCACTGGGATACTTCGACTTCGACACGGAGTCTGCGCGCGACATATTGCACCCTCCCTATTATCTCGGTATGCGGTTGCTTCGCCTCCAAGGTTTGCGCACTACAAGGGAAGAGATATTAGTTATGAACGTTGATCATCAGTGGGTCATGTATCTTCCTCACAGTGACAGAGTGGAGAGACTAAGGTTCAACACGGAAGTATAGTGACTTATTTCTTCCGACGCTTGTTGAACATCATCTCGACTAAATGCCAAGTCCCATGCCATCCGCAAGTTGCGAGAGAAGCCGGATGGTTTGCTTTCGATCTTATTCAGCCGATCGGCCAGAGTTTCGAGTGAAGTCCGACAGTTTTCTATGATGTTTCTGATGCATGTGAAGTGCTCGTCTTCCGATTTCAAGAGGTGGGCTTTCCTTCGCTCTTTGCACGCATCGCCAAGCAGCGTTAAACAGCTGGAAAGGGCCTCGATTCTTGTTTGAAGTCGCGATACGTTGCCTGGTGAGTCTTTGATTGACTTTATGATTTCATGTATCTTCAAGGCAGCCTTACAGGTTGGGTGAATGAGCCCGATGACTGCTGCTGCTGCTTCCATGGTGAGTGTTGATATGATGGGATGCTTCTCGTGAGACTATCGACCGTAGTAGGTAGGACTGGCACCTAGGACTGGAAGGTTCGAAGGTTCTGAGGGAGAGAGTGATTATGATCATCCCACTGATATCTGTATCAGACAATATCAGGTCACGGTCCTCGCTTATTAGCCAGTTCGAAGCCATCACGCGACAGCGTACGTAACAGACCGGGCGCGCCAACTTTGCAAGCCAGGTTCTGCCAGGCTACAAACATTGTCACTTCTATTTAGACAACAAACTACAGAAACTGAATCCGCAGTATGCCTGAATTTCGGGCGAACTGTACGATAATTTCCATCCGAACCGGTCTGTCACTTTGGCGAACTACCTCGCCCACCCTTCCCCACGCCATCCACATAGGAGCACAGGACTCAGGCACCAGTACCTAAGATCAGGGCGGGAACACAGCCCATCTGAAGCGACAGGGTTACTTCAGGCTGGCAAGGATGTGAAACGATCCTGGGCATACGCTCATACGCGTCACCAGCTGATCCGCGGTGTAGGTTCTCGGTAGACAACAAGGCTGTGGCTCTCCCTCCATGCCATGGTTTATTTCTGCATGTCTCTGCACTTTGCACATCGGTATGCATAGGATTTAGCTAATAATTACAAATCGCTCTCACCGCTTACCGTACGAGAAGTACTCACAGGCTGACTTACATCTGAGTGGCCCAATGACCCGAGTGATCCAGCGCCACGGTTTGCAATCCCTGGCTCTGGGGCAACTTGTGGGGGGCGGGGTCTCCCCGCGTTTGCCTACCTTTCTTCACCGGGGTTGAATTCCCACGCCTTGCACTCACATATTTCATATTCAGATGTTCCGTCAAAGTGCGAAGACTTTATGAGTGTTATTGTCCTGCGAGCCAAATGCACAAGTTTACGAGCAGCACACCAGGCCTCTGACAAATCTACTTGTCGTTTTATCGACGATGGATTGTCAACGCTGATCAATGGTAGCTGAATATGGCTTGGCAAGAGAGTAAGTCATTTTGCCTAACCAAAATGCCTTATGGTTGCCTTTTCTTGGTTTCTGCATTCGCATGCCGGCTGCCGTCCCGTGTGACACTTTGGCAGCCTCATAGCCTCCCTAGATATCATTACAAATCTGATGTATATCAGTCTTCCCAGAGGCCTTGCGAAACAAAGCATAAAGCAGAAGAATAACCGATGGTAACTCCCCTCAGATAAGTAGCTAGCTACTCTCAGCATACAAGTTTCCTATTCTCTTTGAAATTAAGTTTATCAATACAAGTTCAACCATCGCTTCTGTCCTCGATCTAGGCATGCTTAAAGTACCTCATTAAAATGACCGAACCAATGGCAAGTTCCACATCCATTGCCGACAAGTTTCGGGCGCAGGTCTCTCGGAGACACATCAATACGGAAGCCATAATTGAAGCCCCGTTAGGTAAGTGTATCAGCTCCATGGTCAAAGTGACATATGGAGCTGAAAGTAGGATCTCTCATTCTAACCATTATCACAGTCCATCTTAACGATGGTGAGCTCGAGGAGGATGTGCGACAATTCGCCGAGATATTGCCTGGTGTTCCTTTCCAACCTATCCTGAGAGCAGCCCAAGTGTCAAAAGAGATCCGGGCATACACTGACGAAGGCCTGCAAGACACTCTACCCATTGAGTTGGAGCCAGAGGAACTAGCAGCAATCAGGGCAGAGAGAGACAAAGCATTCTCTCAAAGTGGCATGACGGTGATTGTCGTCACTGTGGCGCTAGCAGCTCTGCTGCAGGGCCATGTTCAAGCTTCGATCAATGCCGGCAGTATCTACGCGAGACTTCTTCAGGACAAGGTCTCCAGCACAGCATATCGGAATGATTTAGTGTGGCAGCTTGGTGGAATGAACTCGGCGCCATTCCTAGCCGCTGCCATCTTAGGCGCTCCGATGTCACTCCCGCTAAATTACTGGATGGGGAGACGTGGTGCTATAGCTGTTGCGGCCGCTTTGATCTTTGCGAGCTCTTTGGCTTCTGGATTTGTGCACACATGGCAGCAGCTTCTCGGTGTTAGGATTATCAACGGCCTCGGTGAGTCGGAACTCCATATTCAGCGTTTCCCAAAAAGTTTACGTCGCCACAAGGCCATAAGATCCGACTGATACGTTCAATTGACAAAATCCAAGGTATGGGCATCAAGGCCGTCAGCACGCCGATCCTGGCATCTGAGACTGCGATTGATCAATGGAGAGGCTCTTCTATTCTAATGTGGCAACTATGGTAGGCCCCCCCTGACCACTTCATTTCAACAGTTGTCTTCAGAGAATTTGACGCATTGGTGATATCGCGTATGGCAGGGTTGCCTTTGGTATCATGTTAGGAAACGCCATCAACTTAATCCTTGCTGGATCTGTGGGGGCTCTGGATTTTCCACCTGAAGCAAAGGACAGTACTGCCTCTCTTGAAGTCAGAGGTGACTTGGCGCTTCGATTAATCTTAGCTGCTCCCATGGTCCCGGCCATTTTCACGCTCATTGCACTGGCATATTGCATGGAGAGCCCGCGATTCTATATGCAGAAGAACACACCAAACTATCGACCCATGCGTGCCTATGAAATCCTGTCTAAAGTCCGGAACACACAGGTTGGTTTCTTAGTTAGAGTACTTTCCCGCTGTCACTGACTAAATGAAACAAACTAGCTCCAAGCTCTTCGAGATATTTACCTTATCCACAAGAACGTTGAATACGAAGAGGCACAGGATCTACCGGAGACGCCTAATGATCCAAGCGTATCTACGGAGAACCAAAAACAGGGCCTAACATTTGCGAAACACATGTCGTTCGCCTTGTCGGACGCCTATCGGCAATACAGCCACCTCCTGACTACTCCACGATTGCGGAATGCAGTCTGGAGCACGTGCATAGTGGCTCTTGCACAGCAACTTTGTGGAAGTACGATTCTCTCTCCGGCGCTTAGCGTATCATGGTTGGACCTACTGCTGATTTCTACAGTCAATGTCTTTGCCTTCTACTCAAGTATGGTATCTTATCTATCTCATATAGACTCTCGCGGCTCTTGCTTACCACGCCAATAGACAACTTCTTCATTAAAGGAGACCCGAGTCCTCGCAATGCCATGCTTTACAGCTTGGGATTTGGTACGTGTGGTTGACATTCCCTTCGCGATCGGGATTTGCCAGTAAAATACTCAAAGGACTATTACCTAACGAGAAACACAGGTGCCGTGAATTTCTTGTTCGGCCTTCTCGCAATCCGGTGAAGTTCTCAATTACTTGCCACTGTTTCGAACACACCCTTTCTAACAAGTCATCAGATCGATTGACGTCTTCGGGAGACGCCGGTGGCTACTCGTCACGCTGCCATTAATGTGCATTCTTCTGGCTGCAGGGGCTCTGGCGTTTCTTCTCCCCAAGGGCCCGATTCAACTTGGAATCGTTGCCTTATTTATCTTTCGTCAGTTTCATCGATGGATACATACATTTGTCTCGATAACCAACACTTTGCAGTATTTGCAGCTGTGTACTCACCAGGACTTGGTCAGTCACGTGCGCAGTGAATAATCGTTTGAGCATTTTCTGACTTCGTAATCACAGGGCCTATCCCCTTCACACTGGCTTCTGAAAGGTGAATATCTCATTATTCATTCAGATATGTGTCAGATTCTGGAGTTAGTGGCTGTTAACATCTTATTTTACAGCTTTCCCCTTTCTCAGCGCGAGGCTGTGAGTTCTAGACATGTTGACTCTTGAAAGCCATGCACGCGACTAATGTAGTATTTTAGGGATGCTCTGCCGCCATCTCCGTCAATCTTTTCTTTGCGGGCATACTCACGATCGTGTTTCCAGCTGTCAACGAAGCGCTGAAGCTGTATGGTACGCTGGCGTTATTCGCTGGCCTCAATCTCGTGGCATTTGCTCTGGTCTTTTTGCTCGTCGAGGAAACCAAGCAGGTAAGCCTTGAAGAGCTGAGTCTCATCTATGCGGTGCCAAAGAAGAATTTCGTACGGTTCCAACTGAGAGAGCATTTGCCATACCTGGTCAAGAGATACCTGACGCGTACTTGGGGTGGCGGTGATCCGCCCAACTTTTACACAAAGGTTATTGATGGTTCTTATTCTCAGGAGATGGGGCCAATGAGGCGGGATGCATCGACGGACGAATGACGCGATTAGAATAGGGGAGAGTTTCTCCTACTCATGGATACATGTACGATCAAAATCTTGGACCAAGATGATATCAAACGTTTTCCTCCAAGGTAGTGAAGCTGCGAGCGGGCACAAGATAGGACCAGGAATGGTGCTGAACCTGCCTGCGTAGATTCGATGTGCGATTCATGCAAAGTGAGTAATGGAACTGGTAGATAGCTGAGACATAGTGCTTCTGCGTCGATGCGTCGATCACGACGTCATTGTCGAAGGAGAACTATTACTTCATACTTTTTTGATAACTTCAATAAGAGTACCTCAAGCTTACGTAACCTTGCTTTCCAGAGAAGGAGGTTGAATGCTTCAAGTTCTACGAAAGTGTGTTTGTCAGGCCCCCAGTACCGCCAGATATAACAAGACTACACGTATCCGTATCCCGTCAGCTGCGAGATGGCATCACTACGAAGGTACGTACTCTTATGAGGGGTCATAGCCAACCATCTGTTAATCCATTCTTATTTCCCGTAATATGCCGATCAAAAAGTCAGTATATGAGCAGAGTTGGAGGAAAGTTTGGATATGTTTGTATTAATCCCATATAGCAGTTGATTGAGTACGTCGCTTGCTATACAATGGCTTAGTATTACCAATGTAGGCGGGCACGTCTTTGTCGGGCCTCCACGCGTCAGTCAACATACCAGCCGCAAACAGTGAAATCAACGCCAATCGTGCCCATGATGCGTCTCATCCGGCCGCGTCCCAGTAGTAGGCCGTACCTGTTACTTCAGTGCAGTCTGTCATAGCTCACGATCTCCGTTGACGCCAAGCGTGCTTTGCATTAACGTCAGTACTTAGGCCCGGATTCTGAACCGCCAGAGATGTACTTTAGCATCCCTGGTGGAAGACAAGATGCTGAAACAAGTCTTTCGGGGTCTGAACAGGACAGCTATCTTTGAGGCTGCCTGAGAAGTTCAGCTCCTTTGACCTTCCCGTAACTTCGCGGGAACCATCTCAAGTCGGCGATCTGAGATCGGGCCGCGATGCTTTCGGTCTTCAAAGACCTCTCAGCTGACAAGCCCTCAGATGGCGGCGTCCCGATGGCTGGCTGATCTGTAAATGCCCAGCAGAGATTTGGGTTGTGATGTTTTATTGAACAAAAAGACACTTACGAGAGGTAATACTGTGACAGGTCTCATGTCTGTGCGGGGGTGATTCCGAGATCAACAAAAGCGGACAACCCGAGAGGCTGGGGCTGAAGCGAGGGTAGCATCCGGAAAGCTTAAGAAATGGGGACAGGGCGTTGTTAGCTCGATGTCGAGATAGGTGCTGTAAGTACATGTGGGAAATGAATGTGGAAGAAAGGCCGGACATGACCACAATTACTCCAAGAATCAACCGTCACGAATTTGGAGCTTCTTGTTATTGCTTTCTAACGGTGGTTTTCTGGGGAAGGAATGTAGGGAATCGCGAATGTAACACCGTTAGATTAGGAAATTCCGACTCTCTCTCACGAATCACTCTTTTGGGAATAATCGAGGGCTTTCGTCGCCGAATTGCCACAACACCACACGCCTCGAACTGGTGTTCCTCAAATATGGACTAGCCCCGTTTGTGGAAGTCAAAATTGCCAGCTGAGAGAGTGTCTCAGACGCCATGTTCGCATTCCCATCCCACCTGACTCCACACCTTAGCTTCCGTGATGATGTCGACGAGAACAGGGTAAGCCCCTGTGACGGCGCTAAGCCCACGAGGATGAGATTCGCCCGGTGCGTACGCTTCTGTCAAGCTGGATCCCTATAGATCAGACCGCACGGGAGCGATGCGCGAGGCTGCGGACTGCCACGGAAAGGTTTCACATTCACGAACTACACGCCTGCGCATTCCGTCCAATGACAAGGGGAAGTGACAGGTGTCAAATCGTCCACAATGTCTTAACGTTTCGTCCCGTTTGGGAGCTGTCAGGCCAGCCATGAACGTTATGAGAAACCTTGAGATTTCATCCGGCATAGTATTTGACTTTACTTTTCAAGGATGAAATGCAACTACAGTTTGGTTGTACACATGAAGAAAGTTGCAACTAGCTGGGAGCTCCCCTCCCTCAATACCAGATCGTCGTCGATTGTTTCCTTGACCTCATCATGATTGAGCGTCCCGTCTGTCCAAACTACGTCGAGGGTGACGTCCTCACTCCATAGTACGCAGCCTAATGCCCATCAATGACCATGACCGGTGCCGCAACCGAGACAAGTTCCTGCTGGATGCCCTCTGTGTCTGGAGAAGACTAACAGCCATGTGCGGGCGTGTGTACGCTAATTGCCGTTAGGTCCATCGACCTCGTTCCGGAGAGGAGTCCAGGCCTCGTAGCTTGGCATACTCACCCGGCGCCATGGGTCGTGTGGCGTCACCGGCTACAACCAGTTCTTGGAGACATAACCGCTTTGGGTTGGGCTTTTCTGTCTCATGGAGGTTGCGACGAATGCGGATTCGAGTGTCTGCGCAGCAAACGGGACACGCTCTCGAGAGCCATGTATCAGTTGCACACCCTCTTGTGAGGAGGGAAGCCTCCGTGAATCGAGAAGTTATAAAGGATACCACAGGAGAGATCGACATTCATTTCTCGTTATAAGGACAGACGTGTCTTAAAGAACCGAATTCTTCATCTTGAGCTCGGAAGCTCGCAATCACAGATTTCGCAACCAAAACCCATTTCTCCTGGATTACAGATCATCTTCTCGCAATGGTGAACACCAAAGTCGGTCGTCAGCTTTCAGGCGATAGCTCAAATGCTGCTGGCACGTTACCCATGCTCAACATTGCCAACACTACGAGGAACAACATTGTAGCTGTGCTCGGAGAGTTTGTCGGAACATTTCTCTTCCTTTTCTTCTCATTCGCCGGTACTCAAGTTGCCAACACGCCTCTTGGAGCACCAGGATCGGATCCCAACCTCCCATCCATTATCTTCATCGCGCTTTCATTCGGAGTCTCCCTCACTGCAAATGTGTGGGCATTCTACAGAGTTACGGGTGGGATGTTCAACCCTGTGGTAAGTGCTGAGAAGCTTCAACTTGCCATGTACGTGTAACTCACACGAGATCTTCATAGGTGACTCTCGCCCTCACAGTTTGTGGTGGCCTGCCACTACTGAGAGCTCTTCTCATCATGCCCACTCAAATCGTAGCCGGATTGTGTGCAGCCGGGGTTGCTTCCACAATGTTTCCTGGTCCCCTCTCCGTGACCACGGGACTGGGTGGTGGCACAAACACAGCCCAGGGCTTCTTCATCGAGGTCGTCTTGACCGCTCAGCTGGTGTTCGTCATTTTGATGTTGGCCGTTGAGAAGCATCGCTCTACGTTCCTTGCCCCTGTGGGTATTGGTCTGTCATTCTTCCTCGCCGAACTCACAGGTAAGCACGATCAACCCTATCTTCAGTCTAAGCACGGTAGATAATAACATCACGTTCCTCAGGCGTCTACTTCACTGGTGGTTCCCTCAACCCAGCTCGATCTTTCGGACCCGCTGCGGTCGATGGGATATTCCCCAGCTATCACTGGATATACTGGCTTGGTCCGATCGTTGGATCTCTGATTGCTTGTGGATTCTACCTCTTGCTGCGCAACCTTCGATACTATGAGTGCAACCCCGGCCAGGACGATGATGGCCACGAAACGAGCAGTGAGCGCAGCTTCAAACCCTGAGACAAGAACGAAGGCTTCCAGCGAACGATGATCCGTGTCGCAGCACCCCGCATCAGCTAGAAGTGGGTGATATCAAATCGAAAACAGGCGCAAAGGGCGTTAGGTGTTAGTCGTTATTCAATGTTACTGAGGTTGATTTAGTCTTACCGGAAGAAAAACGCGTTTCCGCACCATTCTGGGTCAGAAACCCCAAGATTGAAGCCTTGATGTGAGATGAGGCAGCCTAAGCTGCCATCAAAGTCTCCAGACCGTTGGAATTAAATGTCAAATTACAGTCATGGCACAAACTTGTAGGGAGCTCGCTGAATATTTGCCGGCAAATGTTTATGCTGCAAAGATGCCTTACATGGGTTAAATTTGTGTCTCACAAGATCATGATACTTGAAACTACCGAAGAAAGTTGAGTAGGGCGTTTTGATCGAAAATTAGATAATACACCTGGATACTAAAGCTTGAGCCATTCGATACTCGCTGCTGCGGTTGCTCAATCATAAGGATACATCGTGTGGTGATCAAAAAAAAGCGGACCAGGAAAGTGTTATCCTTAACGGCTCGAGGTTCTAGCCACGAGCAGCCCACTTACGATAACTTTCAATGCCGAGGTGAGAACTCTCCTTGGCTTGACAGAGGCAAAAGTGAATAGGAGCGTACATTTCCCAGTTTCCAGAAGCAGGAGAACGTGTGCCCCGGAAAGTGCTGAAGACCAAAGCTGTCGCCTAGAGAGTGAACTTGAAGCCAAATCACCAGCCACTGTCCAAATGCCTCAATTATGCCCAAGTTGTGGCGTAATTCGGTCCCAAACCAATCGTTCGTCAATGAGTTTGGCAAGGCTCATTCCTGTGGCGAATATTAGCATTGAAGTGGATTAAGTCATAATCACTCGCTGAGAGACGACTGGTCTTGTCGATCTCGACAGTTTCAAGCAGCTCCATGTTACGCAGCAACATGTACGTGGCCACTCACGGGTCAAACCACAATTCAGGGTCCTGTTCCAGAAGGAATTGGTGGAGTTGGACGGCGATCGGGGAAATTCATGTCAGATTCTGTGGCGCAGATTGGATGGCGAACCTGCAGGATGCCGATCAGATAGGGGTGACATGCCAGGGTCGACGGGATGGTGTCCTGGAGCACAGGGGTCAGCCGAATCCTTCGCCCCGATGCTGCTGTCAGTAAGGCTTACTGACAGTGGTTATGCCGAATCGAAGAACTTTCTCTTGTTTTCACTGCATAATCCTTTCCTTGCTTGCTTTTTGGCGGCTTGATTGAGTTTCATCGGTTCCTTAGGATGGCCCCATTGGACGGTCACCGATCCGACTCCGATTCGGTCGGTCAAGTCCGCAAATCTGGGGCCTTATGGCACATGACTTCTAAGCCATCTCACGAGCCAGATGCACTGCATTCTGAATATGTGACGGCTCTTACCAAATTACACGTGGCTGCGTCACCTGGATTATCCTCAATCATATCTGTATCGTAGACTGTCGAAGCAGTGCAGTGGCGAAACATGGCCAGGCCTGATTCCTCCGTACGGCTGTAAGAAGGAAAGGCCGAGAGAGGCGGTAGTCGTTTATCTGCCATTGACATTCAACGTCGTTTGCATTGCTCAACCTTGAGCTATTTGTCCAGACCACACGACTGTGTGCCATCATGGATCTCGACTTCGTCACATTGGTGGTCCATGCTTCAGGCACCGAAGTTGCGGCCTTCAGCCACCCACCGGGCGTGCTCTATTCTCCAGGAATGGCCATTTGTAGCCATTCGACCGAGAAGCTATGCTGAGGGCATCCATCGCGGAGTCTACGCCGCCTCTGCCGTAGCTTTTCTCCGGTAAACCCTTGGTTGCTTAAAGAGAGGCAGCCCCTGGCCCTAAGTTCTCAGCGACCCTCAAGAGCGCCTCTGTCTTCGGCAAAGACTTGACCCAAAATGGAACCGGCAACTCCTAGGCATATGCGTATCCTCATAACAAAAGGCTAGTGCCTACTCTGAGTCCAGGTTTGAGGCCACCGTTCGAGCCGCATGATAATCGTGCGTTTGAAGCCAGGCTCACGTCAGTCAGGCATCCCACTTCAAACCATTTCATATCAAAGCAAGCAGGTCGTTATATACCATAGATCCTATCTCGATCGATACTATATAAACCTCGCGGACGGAAACACATAAGACAGTGTTCAAGATCATTCTGGCAAGTCCCACAAAGCATACGCACATACCCAAGCTGCTACGGCCCGCTTCAAGTACGTCTCCCAACTCTCTTAGCCTTTAGGTTCATCCAAAATCTGATCCCGAGCTCAAACAAAGAATCTGGCTGGCTGCCGCACTGGCTGAAAGACTCGACGCTATCAGAGCCAACTTGCGAAATGGCTTTCCCTGCGGGACTACCACTCCGAAAGTTAGATCACAATTTCAACAATGCTGAGGGAAGTATTTTGTCTTTTGATCAAATGCGGAGCCTGACCATGGCAAATCCTCTTTGGCGAGAGTTCATCAACAATCGTTTAGCCCTCGAACGTCGTTATGGGCAGCTTCTGCACTTGTACGAAGAAATGTTTTCGTAAGTTGTGGCTCGTCAAGACATCCGAGTTGCTCTGACGTAAATCATCGCAGGAACTACTTTGGTGGTTTCATGCCAATCCACTACGGGACCTTGACCAGCAGCACCATGGATCCCGAAACTGTGGTCAAAATAATTCTGACGATTGCAGAAATTTCGATGTCTGAATCTTCAGAATCATCTGAGAGCCCCTTCACAGATGAGGACGATACTCTGAAGAGATTGGGTTGGGAGGATATACAAGCAAAGCAGTCTTGCTGGGCACTTTTATCTGATACGTACGCCGCAGCAACAACCGTGTCAACTAGAACACCAGGAGTAAGAGCTCACTTAATCCTACTAAATGTTCCATCATTGACGTATTTGCTAAGCACAAATCTTCACTGAAATATTCGGACTCTCCAAAGCCCTATGGAAGCAACCCTGTCCTGCTTCACATAGATGGTGTTTCTGATGACGAACTTTGTGATCAACTATTCGTCGCCAGAGAAGCGGGGTGCATCGGCATTGTTATTGAGCTCGTGGAAACCCAGTTCAATGGGAGAGTCTTGGAACCCAGTCTTCTCAGCCGGCTGAGCGCCATGTGCGCGGAGTACCAATTACTGTTAGCAGTAGATGAAACTCTGACTGCCATACGTTGCGGTGCACCCTTTTGCTTCCAACGGGAGGAGTACTTCGATGTGATCTCCCCCGATCTCGTGTTTTTTGGCAAGGCTACTGGCTCCCAGGGAATTGCCATCAGCTTTGATGGGCAATTTGTCAAAAAGTTTGGGCTCTCGGGGACTTCACGCGGTCGGGCTGTTCGTAAGTGGCAAAACAACTTCCAGAAGCCCCTGCCGACTGCAGACCTGATTCAGGCCATGGCTACAATTGAGATTGCAGTTCAGGGGAACTTTGTGATGTTGAGTAGAATCATCGGACAGGCCATCCGCGACTTTGTCCTCGAACAGGCAGCAGAACGAGGACACGAGGTGACTCCTCCTGAAATTCTTGGAGGGCTAGAGAGCCTAATCTTTGTAAGGAAGGACATTGCTGGAGAGATGCTGGTCATGGGCGCGAAAACGGCTGGTTCGTGGATACCTTGGGTTAAGTGGCTCCCCAGGCTTGAGAAAGATATGACGAGAAGCGAGGTGCTCGAAGAAATCATTGGTAGGAGTAGCAGATCAGCTCGCGAGGAGCTCTCAAATTTGTTGACGAAGCGAGGATCTAAGCCGACTTGGTGTTTCTGGTGTGGAAACCGAACCACAGCGAAGAAAGACGATTGGTGTCGAAGGTGTTGCATTGGCATGTGCGAGGGGGAGGTGTGTGGGCGTCACTTCTTCCGGCATCATTGTGTTTAAGAACAAGTCACCTCAAGAAGTAGGGTTAACTAGGATCACTATGTTCCTCTTCCTTCTTTAATCGATGGAGAAGATCGAATGAAAGAGGGACATTGCACGACAAATGAATCTGCTTGCTTCTAGTACTTAAGTGCCTTGGTTAGGCGCCCACTGCTCACAGCAATAGGACTTACACCGATAGACGTACTCTCCACATCAGCTCAATTTCAACAAGGCCTCCCCCTCAAGACTAAGCTCATAAGATCTAATAGATCTACTCGCCTTGTATCCTCGCTTCATCTGCAGAATCGCCAAAAAGGAGAGATTACGATGAAAGGAAGATGGGATGGACAGGTTGTCACAAGCAGTGGAAAGCTTAAAGTGTGTTATGTAAGCAGCGCGAACTCCGATCCAACCCATTTCCGATTAGCGAATCGTTCACAATGACGTATGATCTGCCTCAAGGCGTGTCGCATGACCTCGATGTCGATTGCGGGGTTGAAATGACAAACTTGACTAATAACTTCGGTAGCTTTGGACGCTCTCTTTGGTTTTCCCTGAAGAACTCAAGTAATTGGTAGTCTGCCATCTCATGGTGTAGCATCAAACTCTAATTCGGATGCTACGATGCCTTATTCAGACGATCTTCCACGGACAAGAACCCCTCTGCTGGGCAACAATGGCCAGTCGGAGGCAGCAGCTAGAATAGTGTGTTTCCAAAGTCTAATGAATGGAAGCTTTGACAGATAGATGTTCGTGAGCTAATAATAAGGGACAGCGATCAACTTCACGCAGTGTTAAAAATCAGAGTAGCAGGGCGGTGTCTTTCATCGTCCACATCTTCCGGGGTGGTCTCTTCTCTCCACCAACCTTGACATACGACCCACTACTCTTGCTCCTGAACCATGACGACCAGGACGAAAGAAACAGACTCACTGAGAAATGGAAGGACAACAAGCTGCAAGAGCTTAACTTCGTAGGCGTGGTAGTAAGTTGAGCTCTTGTCTATAGTCCAATGCGCAGTCCTACATGTTTTACGGCAGTTGTGACTTGTGTCCACATACGCCGGGCTAACATATATACAGTCCGCTCTGCTCGCAAATGTTCTCACATCGACCGGTTCATGGCCGAATCTTCTGCCCCCTGAAACGACCACTCCCTGGCCTGTACGGACCTGCTGGTTCTGCGGCATCGCTTTCGCCCTTGCCAGCGTGTTGACAGCGGCAGACCAGACCATTCGGCTCCATAGAATGGCCGGACATAGGGATGGCTTGGTTCTCATCAGACAGTCTCTGCGCACCCAAGATCGGGTCTTGATTGGCACTGAGTGGAAGTACCGCCCTCGCAAAATGCAAGTCTACGCCTGGCAGTTGTCAGTTCTGTTCCTGGCAGGCGCGGTTCTCTGCATGATCTCAGGGATGATCTTCTTGGTTTGGAGCGCTGTTGCCGAAGATATTGGCAGAGGAAAGGGGTTTGATGACAACGGCAAGGTACTTAGCATCCAGGAGCCACTGTTTTGTGTTTCATTCGCACTAACATGTATCAGGTTGCCGTCATATTTACCTCATTTGCGTTGATCACAGCTATTATCTTTGCACTTGGCCAAACGACTCTTTACTACCCGGTACCAAAGGGAGGTGACATCGAAGATAGTGACTGAGACACACTCAAATATTTATCATCCAGATACAATGATACTTGGATCGACTTGGTGCGGTTCAAAGCATCATCGAAGACCACATGTATGTAGCTTACATTGTAATACTCCACTACATACTCAGCTTCAATCAACACAGATAAGGCACAACTCGGATGATTCTGTCGCTGAACTACCTTGCTACGTTGGAAGCATCTATGAGAGACCTCCCTCAAGCTAGTTGCCACCATGATCGTTGGCCAAAGGCTTCTGTCCCGCGACAGAATGGTAAAACACATATGAGTGGGTTGATGTGTCCAAGAGGTCTTTCCGTACGTCAACTAGAAAGATTTCGACTTCTTCGGATTTCCAACCCAAACCTCTGGTCAAAGGACCAATCGTGACTGCATGCACACCATCGTAAAGAACAGCCTGACAGTATGCCCCAATCATTGCAAGCTCTTCGTCGATTGGCCAATCACCAACCGGGACTTTCTGCACGTCCTCAACTTGATTTATGAAGCCAGCGTCGAGTAGGCGTTGGGGATTGGTGTCTGCAACGTCGGCCTCAATGCCAAACTTTCCAAGACCTTCCCATACCAGATCCATCATTTTGATTAGAGAATAGCCCGGCCGCATTGTCCCATCATCGCAGTTGAAATTCCATTTCATCTCCTGAATCTCGATCCAGCCGCCTGGCTTTAGAACTCTACGAGATTTAGAATATTTCACATGTTTGTGTGATTTTACTCACCTATATGCTTGTGCAAGGAGTTTATCCCAATCTTGAATGGCTGCGCCCATGTTCCGTACGTGGATATAATCCACAGACTCAGTCGGATACAGCCACTCGGCTTCAGCATCGTCAACTACGAACGAAACATTAACCGGGACGTATGCGGGTTGAATCGGGCTGAGGTCAATGCCCGTGACCTCCGCGTCTGGATATTCATCACCCACTACCGTGTGTCAAGGCGATTAGTGAGTCTTGTTCGAGACAGAGGTGTCAACAAAATAACTTACTGTCTATAGCCCATATGCCAGTGCCGGTGCCAATGTCTAGAATAGTCCGAGGATCTTGAAGTGGCGCGCTATGCAGCGCCCCGCCACAAAGAGTCACTACCATTGAATGCTTCATATCTTCGCGTTCTTGCTCGGCGTCATCGTTTGGGAAGACATATCTGCCCTCTTTGAACTTGTGGTAACGTCTCTTGTTTTCGAAGCTGTAGTCCCGAATCGAGGATGCGAGCGAGTAAGATGGTAGTATGTTGCTTGAGGCAGAGGCAGTCCAGTACCCGTCCCCTTCACCGCTTGCCCCGTCTTGAGTTGTGACCATTGCTTCGGGTGGAAGTGGCAAGGACCCTTCTGGCGATAGATGATCGGCCCATGATGGAGGGGCTTGGTGGTTCCATTGATCGGCCATAGTTTGTTACTGCGAGGTGTGTTATCGAGGCATTCGGTGACTCTTTGGAGATTCGGGGAGATGGTGTGCAGTTTAAAAAGGTCCCGCTCCGCCAACGTGAGAGAGACAGGGATGAGCCAAAGCAGATTCAACAAAGGCAGCCAACAACGTTGGCGGTTTATCACCCCAATTAGACTTGGCAACGACACAGAACAAGGCATCCTCGGATGGAAATTCCGCCGGGACTAGGGTGCCATCATCCACATTTCACTCTCTTACGTCGAATCATGTTTCGCATCACACGATGCAATTGTTTGCTTCCTTTGACTTATCACCAACTCGATCTAGTTCCCAACATTCGGTTGATTGCGCTCCGGGGTAACTCGCATTGAAAACTCGCATTCGCTCGTTCTGTTGCAATGCTTCCCAGCTTCCTACTGAACCGCGCGTGAGAAAGTCACAGGAATGAGACGGTGCAGCGACTTTTAGTGCGTCAAGCGCCGTGAGGAATACCCTTGCCGTGCGTGCTCCGCCTGAGAAGACACAGCAGTTTACAGCCTTGAAGTCAATGGCCCTCCGTTCCATCCTCGAACTTTCGAAGGACTTTGATGTTTTCTTGAAATTTGGACAATGGTATCATTCTTGACTACATCTTGAAACTCAATAACTCTTCTACAAGTAGATATAGCAGAACGGGTTTCCTCCAAGCGTATTGAGTAGGTCGCTGATTGGGCGATTGGGCGCGTTTGGCTCCTGGATGACCAAGTCATCGAGACGAGCATCACGGCTTGGGGGCGTGTTTAGGATCGTGATTGTTCCGGCAATGTTGAAGGCCTCTCCGAGATGAAGCGCCTGCCACAGCCAGTAAACTCGGTCGACCATCGCGTGGTGAAGAAAGAAAGTCGGGTCATTAGTCGACGAGAACAGGTCAGAAGCTTCACCGTTCACAATGAAGTGTCCGGAAGTGTGTGTACCTGCTTATTGTTAGGAACTCTGCTTACTTAAGTGGGTTGACGAAAGCTTACCCAGAAAGCCATCACCAAAGCGGCCCTGGAGTTCGTTCTGGAACGTCAAAATGTTCTCTGCCGCAGCGCCCACGGTGAGGTTCAACACATTCTCAGGAGTCATCCAATGCTGGGATGTCCAAGCGCTGATATCTCTGGAGAGACAACGAGGATTATAGGCCAGAGGTCCGCCGGGATTGACTGCCAGACCGTCGATGCCAGGGCTGACAGGGCCAAGATGAACGGTCATGCTTGAGCAATGAGTCAGTCTCGTGTTCTTTCTTTTGGTCCAGAAGGAGGCTTACTTGGCGAAAGGGCCGCTTGTGACACAACCACCTCCCTCACCAGAGGGGATGTAGACACCACCACCCGACGTGCTGCCGTTGTGATATTTAAAGGCACCATTGTCACTCATGCTAGTCTCGCTGCCATCAAACATTGGCGCCTTGGAAGGATCCTCTCGGTAGGAAAGCCAGTTCCAGTACTAGTACACACATCGTCAGCCGCTGTAATTCCAAGTGCCATCCAATCCTATCTACTCACCGGTTGATAACCATTGTAACCACATTCCTGCCTCAAAGCATTCTCGTAGGCCCACGTGAAGTAACGATGCCATGTGAGGAAATTGCCGGTCCCGTGGATGCTCAAGGTCTGGTTGATATGAACAGCAACAAAGTCGTCATATCGGCTGCGAGCGCCGGGAGCGAAATCCGTAAGCTTGGAAGGCTTCGTCAACAAGCAATTGACGGCGCTGGTGTAAGCCTTCTTTTCAGACCCGGAGAGCGAGTTCCTGTTGATGTTATCAGTGAATGGACCTTGGTTTTGGTTGGACATTTACGTACCAGTCCCGGCGAACACGCGCGTTGAACAGGGTGCATGAGTCTCTCTTGCCAAAAGTACCGTCTCCCTCGGCCGCCTGAAGAGCTTCGATAGCCTGAGCCTGGACCTCTGACAATTCGTCGCCTTCAGAAGCGAGAGCAGTCGCTCCGTAGAGACTCAGCGCCGCGAAGAGGTTGAGGATACGCATTGCGATGCGTTCGGCGGCTTTCCTGGCGTAGGGAGCTGGGGTGCTAAGTTTCGTGAAATTGAGAGCACTAGGCAATCGGAGAGAACAAGCAACAGCGATGAATACCGTGGCAATCGTTATTTATCTTCAATTCCAGTGCCGACAGGCAGCCTTCTGTTATCCATGTCAAAATAGCGCCGGCGGGGTTAGATGACAACGGCACGCTTCCGAGAAGTTCTGAAGAGGCACATCGGCCGGGAGGCGAAAAAGTCGACAGGCCTGATGCCCAGACGGTATTGATTAAATGGTGGATGTGTTAAATCCAATATGAAGAAGCGTCTTTAACCCTGACCATGTCCGCATGGTGGACAAATCGTTGGTTGGCTGTTGTGGACCTTTTCCGAGGTCGTGACATGCTGCACTTCAAATGAACCGGCGTGGATCGAACTAGAACCCCAGACATGCTGGTAACAGCGTTGCATTGCTGGTCAGCGCTAATGACAGCAGGTAAGCGACAGTGTCGACTAACTCATAATAGTATCGGCTGAATCATGAACGGCCCCTCCTCTTTCGAGTCTTTCCCTTCTCAAATGGCCATTCTCAACTTCGAGTTTCCAAAACTCTATTGTTAATATTATGCCAAGTTTACTGCCGTGCGATTCTGCTCCGATACTTCGGGGTTTCAAATGGGGCCCCGGCATCGGGGCCGGCTCGGACAAGTTTCTGCATCGGGTGTATACGATGATCCAACGACCTTGGCATCCCACAACGCTGCGTTCCACCCTTGTCCATCTCATGCCGGAACCATGACTAGTCTCGCTGTCTCAGAGCCGACTTAACCGACATTTTCGAAAAGGTGAATGGGGTCAGCGGAGAGTCAAAGTCTATCAACTACCTTATCTTGTTTCGTAATGACTTCCCTCGAGTAAATACTAGCTACTTCATTGTGTTGTTTTAAAGTAGAATGTGAAGAAAAGGGGCGTCTGCATTCCGATGCCTACCTTTAAGCTACAGCAAGCTTGATCCGGCTTAAAACTCCTTTCTAAGTCAGCCATCCGGCAGTGTCCTTGTGCGCTCCATTGCTTGCTGCCAAAATAGTCTCCCTCGCCTGGCAAGGATCTTCTGGCATTTTTGAACAACAAAGAGACATTCTCGAATACCCCAAGAGTTATGATACTTGAGTCAATGCATGGAGTCGATTCTTTCCTTGCCATCCTCAGTGACATGTAACATTGCAGCGTGTAGCCGCGTTGAAGTCCCCAACTCTCTGTCTTTTTTACCTGGAATCTGAAAGTTCCGTTGCTTTCCCTGTTTCTATGCCATTCGATCAATATGACATCTTCTGACACAATGCCAAACCTATATCTGTGACAGAGACCATCTTTGGAAATAGGTAGCTCAAGATTCGCAAACTTTCTACGTTGGTGGCGGACCTCTGACGTAATAGCTCAAGATGAGACACTTGAGGTGGAAAAAGAGATTCACGTAACTGTTATAGGATGATGTTGGAAAGAATGGATCTAGGTGCTTGCGGGAGACACAAACATGTAGTGTGAAATGGACTTAAACTCACGGGATGAGGATCATTGCAGGCATAGGCATGTTTCTTGGCTTTCAGACACTCGTGCGGTGCTTTTATTGTTCTGATATATCAATGCATTGCGCTTTTAGAGGCTCCAGCGTCTTGGTAACCTCGATCTCGTTCTCATCTGCTTTTCAACGCGCGGATTGAATTCACCCGCGCATGCAGCCCAACAGAGCATATAACACATATATTTCCGAACCTTCGAGTCATTCGCGTCTTCTTTCCGCTTGTGCTCATGAGTGCTGTGCTGTGTAAGTCAAAGGAACATCAGAAGGTGTCTGATTGGCGATATCGTTGGCGATTTGCAAGATGATGGATGAGGTGATGGGGGTATCGCTCGGAACCCAACCGAGTACTACTGGTAAACGCTCGTTTCCTATTCATTCTTAGCACCTGGGCGATGGATAATGACTTCCACTACCTTATTGAGAGGAAAAGTAAGTCTTACTGAAAAAGTATTCGAGAAACGCTCTGTTGGCCACCGGCTTGCTCGGAGAGCCCCATACAGCCAACATCAAGGATGCTTCGCCCAAGAACAAAGGTGCGGATGATTCGGGAAGAGTGAATATTGGATTAATACGACTCATAGCTAGAGCGTGTCTTGCACGGGCGTTGGCCATGGCGGCTGTGCTTATCGTTGTTGCATCACCAAAGTAGGCAACGAAACCGTCGAAAGTCGCCTTGTCGAATCGATTCGACGGGTCGAAGTACATGTCTCGGCGTGATAGACTGCCATCGTGTTCAATGACGTTGTGCCGGTTCAGCATATCTAGATCGATGAACTAGACAGTAAGTGAGATTGATCAGTACAAGTTCCATGAAATATCTTATGTCATAAATATAAGTATGTCGCCTCACATTTGCGTTTGGTATTGAGTTCAACTTCAGTGCTGGCGTGAAGGCAGCCGTTGCTAAGTCTTCTCCAATATTCATCGCATCTTTAAGACCTTTTATGACGACATCGAGAGTGATATTGCGGCCGTCGTGAGGTAGAAAGCCATGGTTGGCGAGAGTATTTAGCGTCGGGCAGGGCGCGCGTACTAGGCAGCTTGTCAGCAAGGAAGACTTAACGCAGATGGATTAAGCTTGACTAACAGTCTCCAGGACCTGGTGGTGTCCACGTGAAATGATTAGGCTTTAGCTGGCATGCTGCATCTAAGCCTGGCGCTGAAGTTGATGGTGGTAGAATTGACTGGAACGGGCACCCGCTGCCGGCGCCAGGAAAAGTTGGAAGTGCATATGCAATAGGCATTGAGCCAAGTATCATCAAAGAAAATTGCATCTTTTGCAACTTTTCTGGTGTCACCCAACGGGACAGGAGTTGAAATAATTTGCACTGATTGGAGTGGACGTTTCACACAGGTGTATGTAAAGGCTTCATCAGCATACAGAAGGATGAGAAACTGCAGTTTATCATATGAGCTTCAAGTCCAATTTTTCGAGGGTTCAGGATATTTAATATACAAACAGCGATTGGATAGCGAGGACTTTCCGCTCTTTCCGTTCGTGCTAACATTGATGGATAGCTAATGTTAGTCGTGAGTCCGTTGCAACGGCTCTCTTCCGAGGCCCTTGTTCAAATGTCGATCTTCAACGTTAGTCCATTTTGTGGCTTGAACCCCTGATTTCTATGGTCTCTTACATGAACTACTTTCCCGGATCCTTCACGAGCCGCAGTTCGCGCCTGGCTTAGCGGCTCGTTGGGTTCCTGAGGTCATAGCTTCTTGCAGATTGAAGTCTGCAAGCTCATCGTCGGCTTCGCAAAGTTTTGGAATTATTCCAACGGGGTCTTTGTTTTCCCCGATTACTATTTCCGCAGTCTCATTTCGCGTTGGCCTTGAGTCAACATTGACGCGCAGTCCTTATCTCATGACAAAGCAGTCGCCAAGATCGGAGGACGGCAGTCTTAGCGCATCGATCTCCAACTCAATCTGAATGATGCTACCTTGAGAAACTCAACCTTATTCTCGCAAGCCTGAAGGCACATTTGGGTCGATTCAAGTTCTACCTCGCAGTAGCTTACCTGTGACACCAAACTCAATTGGTACTCCTAGATGAGTTCGCACCTGATGGAGAACTAACATGCTTTCCGACATGATGTTCTCCAACGCAGTGACTAATCCGCATTCAGACGTTGTGGCATCTAGGAAGAAAACACACGGAAGCTTTCGACGATACAAGCTATCGAAATGTGGATGAGTGGCGAATCATGTAAGCCGAATAGTTGATGTTCGTTTATTTATTTCACGTGATGCTAACTTGGTGCGGCACACTCCAATATCAGATGGCAGATGGCCCGAACTTGTATCCCCACACCCCGAGGACGACGGTTAATCCTGTACTATTTGCCAAGCAATTGTTCACTGTCTGTGCATTGACAAGCCGCGTTTAGCCATGCTGCCATTTCCACAAGGATATCCAGTCGGGGTTTCTTCATCAAGCTCGCGAGAGAAGTAGTAATAACATAGTAGCAAGGCTTTGTTGTGAACACAAGACCTTTCCAGTATCGATATGGTCAGGTCCCAAAGGTTCATTCACGAGATCACGTGTGTCAACGTAAGGTATGGTCTCCCACAATGAGGAATGAATCATGGAAAATCGTGGCTGGAACTTTGTGTCATTGCCATTGGCGTATCGGCGGCTCAACCTCATTGGGTTGCAATGCCAAGAAGTTCCACGGCGTAACCGAGCTGCGCAATCGCATTGGCGCGTACGGCCGTTCCTGGATCAGGCAGGTCGCGATAGAGTCGTAATGGAGCAGAAGAAAATATTGGCTCTGGGCTTCCTCATTAAGTCTTACGTCCCCGCGTTTCTGGGGAGCCTAGTACGCGTCGAGGTTAATTGACAGTGGCGCCGGTCGGTGAGCTACTGCCAACATCACCAGCTTCCTTATCTATCGTCTTGGCGATGATCACGCGAGCGAAGAGATGCATGCGTCGCTTCCAGCTCGTTGGTTGAGGGAAGTCTAAAAGGCCAACAAGCCGCTGCTTTCCGCCCTGCTTATTGGGAACATCTCCTCGCTCGCCCACTCGCAGGTTTTTGTTTCTAGCCACCACAAGGCAACTTCAAATCTTGTGCAAGACCCCGCCGGTCGTGTAGCAACAGTTCACAAGATGAAGACGGCCGCTCTCGCATTGGCTCTGCCGGCGCTAGTCAGCGCCGTCAAGTGCAAGCCGTACGTCGAGTCCGAGAAGCTCCAGGAGCTCATCAACATCGAGGACCTCCTCGCCGGGTCCCAGAAGCTCCAGGATATTGCGGATGCCCACGAGGGAAACCGCGCCTTCGGCGGTGGCGGCCACAACGCGACCGTAGACTGGCTTGTCGAGGAGCTTGAGAAGCTCGACTACTACGACGTCTACAAGCAGCCCTTCACCGAGGCTTTCGCCGGTGCCAAGGCGACCCTCTCCGTCGCAGGTGATGCCATTGACGCCCGCCCTCTGACGTACACACCTGGCGGAACCCTAACCGGCGCTACCTTGGTCAACGTCGCCAACCTTGGATGCGAGGCGTCGGACTACCCTGCCGAAGTCTCTGGTGCTGTTGCGCTCGTGTCGAGAGGCACTTGCAACTTTGCGGTCAAGGCCACTCTCGCCAAGTCTGCAGGCGCTGTCGGTGCCATCATCTACAACAACGACGTTGGCGCGCTTTCAGGAACCCTCGGTGCGGCTTCGGATGGTTACGCCCCGACTGTGGGAATTACCCGTGAGGAGGGTCAGACCCTTGTTGCCTCTCTTGCAGCTGGTCAAGCGCTGACTCTTGATCTCAATGTTATCTCCATTATCGAGAACCGTGTCAACTATAACGTCATTGCGGAGACGAGGGGCGGAGACCATGACAATGTTCTCATGATCGGAGGCCACTCCGATTCTGTTTTTGCTGGCCCTGGTATTAAGTAAGTTGACATCACTATGAGATACGTTCGGAAAGACGAACTGACTAATATTCTCTTCCAGCGACGATGGCTCCGGCACCGTTGGTGTTCTCACTGTCGCCAAGGCCCTTACCCAGTTCACCACCAAGAACGCCGTTCGACTTGGATTTTGGGGCGCGGAAGAATACGGCAAGCTCGGCTCCTACTTCTATGTGAAGTCGCTCAACAGCTCTGAGGAGGAAATCTCAAAGATCCGAGCATACCTCAATTTCGACATGATCGCCAGCCCCAACCCCAAGCTCGCCATCTATGATGGTGACGGCAGTGCCTTCAACTTCACTGGCCCCGCCGGTTCTGATGTCATTGAGAAGGACTTTGAGGAGTTCTTTGAGTCCAAGGGCCTGGGCCACGTACCCACGGAATTCAACGGCCGCTCTGACTACGCCGGGTTCATCGAGAACGGCATCCCGTCTGGTGGACTTTTCACTGGCGCAGAGGGCCTCAAGACGGAGGCCGAGGCCGCGCTGTTTGGTGGCGAGGTCGGTGTTGCCTACGATGTTAACTACCACTTGATCGGCGACGATATCACCAACCTGGACAACGATGCTTACCTTGTCAACACCAAGGCCATCGCCCACAGTGTCGCCAAATATTCCATGAGCTGGGAAACCCTTCCTGCTGTTGAGTTGAAGAAGCGCAGATGGGCTGCAGACACGGCCCAGCACCTCAAGCGTGCTGCTGAGTTGACCGGTCATTCCCACGACGGGCCCTGCGGTGGCGGCTCCCACTTCTAAGGGAGAAGCACCCAAGTGACTGACTCCTACGAGGGGGTAAGACTCCAACCATGGATACCTAGCCTACCCTCGGTTTAAAAATAGACGAGAAATGAATGGATGACAGACTTCATGTTATTTGCGCTCCCTTTGCGTGACCGTATGCAATGTGATACTGCTACAGGCTTGCCAGGATCCTAGTAAACCGAATCCTTCGCCTGTCAGCATCGCACGACACTTTGCGAGCTCTATTCTTCAATTAGGCAGTTCTTTCGACCAATCAGATTACCCAGACTTCCCGTCCTTTCTAGAGTAAGTGATAAATGGTACTTTTGTGGTACTTTTGCACAACCAACTCTAGTCATCGCTTTATACATGTTCAGAAGAAGTCCAAAGTCCGTAGATATAGACAATCGTGGTAAGGCTTAATGAGCTTTGATTATGATGTCGGAGGGTGCCTCCATATCCGCGACAAGACAGGCGAGTCTGGCCTTTTGCATATCTCGGCTATCGCAAAAAGGTCATGTGGACACCATCTTCCAGCTGTTGGAACTTATCATGCAGCTGTCGAGCAACCCACTCGAGAATCTTAACGCATGGCGTCGTTTTTGTATGCCCCATCTTCTCAGGCAACAACTTACTGTCTCCTAAACGAGATAGCCTCACTCAATCAGCCCAAGACATGACTGCATCATCGTGATCTTACTAACGGAGGCGGAGCAGTGTGGCACAGACTTGGCCGAGGTCTAGGCAAGGAGCAATTGAGAAGTATGATCGCACCGGATAAGCAGACTCATCACATTCCTACACCAATCATAACCTCGAATTGGCAACACCCTTCAGCGTCGATGCCTATGGCTGGGTCTACGGCCGGATGTCAGCCGCCCCCCTTGTTTTCTGTTGGGGGCCGCTTCTCCCCAAGAAACCCTAGAAACGCCGTTGGTTGACCCCTGGAACGGGCGCGAACCCTGGCTTTCCAGTCCCCAAAGAAGTTTAAGGACATCTCCGCTGACAAGGAACTGGAACACCGGGCAGGCTCGCATTCCGTCTTCTTCGCCGGGCATCTCCAGCCGATGATGGCGAGGCCAAATCCTTCAGCGTTGGCAGCACTGCAGCAGGCTGTAGGGCGACCTATGAGGGTCGGGCTTGGCACCTAGTGCAACACCGGTCGCCACGGACTTGTGCAGGGTGCGGCGAACGCGACCACTTCCGCGATCTCACCGGTCAATGTTGTGGGGGCCGAGTCTGAATCTTGTTTCCACTTTAGTTCAGGCAACCCTTGAGTCCTTGATGAGAAACCGGATCATGACCTGTTGCTGCATGTCTCAACTTGATGGCTCATGGCAACTTGCATAGGGCTGCAGCGGCTGTGTCGTATTGCTACCCAGGTTATGAGAGTCGACGGTAAGTATCTTGGTACTGCGTGCTTCGTGACTGCGCCTCCTACGCCTCAACCCTCCAGTCTCTTCGTTTATGTACCTCACACTCGAGAACTCTGAGAGAAGTTCAGTCATGTAGCAATATATAAGAGGCTCTCTTCTCTTTGTTTCGTCGTGTTCTGTCTTCATTAGCATCCAATAACCACCAAGTACCTCGGTCTATCACTCCCTTGAGCTCCTGTATTACAACAGGATCCAG